CAAGGCGAAGCGTAACTTTCTTCTATGGTTGTCGAGACTATGATAACTAGAATTTTTGTATTTATAATTTAAAACGAATATAAATTAAGTAAGAAGACATTAAAATCAGGCTCGTAATATTAAATGGTGAAATAGGTTTGTTATGGAGTGGATGAAGTCGTGAAACTTTTGAGATTGCAGGATGAAGAAATGATGATTGATATAGCAGGTTATACTAATGAACATACCGTGGCGGTGTGACTCGGCGAAACCTATAAAATTTACGACGTAAATTTACGTCGTCGCGAGGTTCGCTGGAAAAGTATCGGCCACTCGTTACCGGGTTTGCAGCGTCGATTATCGACAGCTTTAATGGCCTCCGTTGACTCGGCGTGGAAACATTCTGTTCCAGGACTTCCCCCGGAACGAGCAAAAAGAGAGAGGAGGACGGATAAAGAGATATCAACGCGGATTTACTCGGTATCCCGCTAGCAGCGGGAAGTGTGCTCGTAGCTACGATCCCTGGCTCGTCTCAAGGATGGAAGGATCCTCCGCAGATATTCACCTTCGAATCCTGAAGAAACGGAGCCCGCGCCGAACTCGATCGCCATAATTTACGACGACGACGTACCGAGAGAACGTTATCGCACGATTCTGATCAGCGGCGAGAGACTTCGACCCCGCGATACAAAAAACCATTCGAGATCTCGTCGAGGTCGTTACTCGAACTCGCCGGAGTAATGAGGGACCATCGAAAGCGAAGGCAAAGACGCGAGATCCGTTGGCCGTTGCACGTGTTTTCTGGCCCGATCACTCATTAGTTAACAGGGAGATCGAATGACCAACCCGGAGAAGAACACGCAGGAAAAGGGAAGGCACAGCGTGGAATCGATTCTATTGTTTCGGTACTTGACTAAAATTTAAGAAACTTGATTTTTTATATGGTTCTCGAACGAAACTTTTACAAAGCACGAAGAGAAAGTAGTTCGCACAGCTCGACTTTGTTAGCGTGGATCCTGGAACGCGTTCATTGTTCGGAGCAGAAATTTAGAGATCATTCGTTAGCGTTCAGCGTTCCTCCTCGTTTTCGGTGATCGATCATCCGTCCGTTCGCAAAGGAAGGAAAAATCGAGGGCAGGTGAGACGTTCCTCCACCGTGGCTCCGTCTCGGCCGTCTACCTGTCCCTCCCCCTCGAGGAGCAAGTGCACCGCGTTTTTCGAGAAACTATTTGGCAAAACCCGGCGTGGCAATGTTCTCAGCGGGAGACTCGGGGCTTAGTCGAGTAACGCAAGAAGCAGGCACGCCTCTTTCCCTCTTTTAACAGATCTCGCTTGCAGATATCCCGACCTGGTTAAATTCATTTTCAGGGACCTCGTGTAATTAACGTCTTCTTCCATTTGTCTTCCGTCGTGGTCGTTAGGAACGCAGGAAAAACAGCTTTCTCCTTCATTACGATTCCTCTTCTTCAACAGTATTCCTCAGCATTCCTTCAGGGATACACTCTGTACGAATGTTAATGGAAAGAAACGTGGTTAAGTCTAACAAACAGTGCATTCGTTTCGTACGAACTGCTACTAAATGAATGCGTATGTAAGGGCTAAACTGTTTATGCAAACAGTCTATGCTTTATGTCATTCTTGGGTACAATCGAAATTATTCTACAAAGCAAAGGGTTCATTCTATATTGTTTTAATTTCCAAGAGATTCTCGAATAAATTATTTAACCGTGAGTTTGCAACTCGTGTATCTCTAAAAGTAAAATAATTTCGATTGTATCCGTACTCGAAGTAGGTCGAACACGTTCGCACGCACCTCCGATGAGTAATTACAGCGCAAAAACTAATTTGCTGAAAAAAATAGAAGTAAATTAAAAAAGGCACATCGACGAACAAAAAACGGTACGAGATTAAGTTGTACAAAAAGTTTCTCGAATTTCAACCTTGCCTCTTCGCTCTGCCACAAAGTGACTCGATATTTAATCTTCCAGATGTTGATATTTTTTGCAGACTTTAATCCTCCTTCAAGGATACCCGTTGAATTCCATGTCGGGATTAATATGCCGCGAATAAAGAAAAAGAAACCGAGAACAATTTTATACTCAATCCGTGCGTTCGAGACGAAGTAATAACTGCAGGCTCCCCGCTTAATTGTAGCCCGGATAAAAACGTACGAAAGCGAAGCTTTGTTTCTCTCGTTATTTATCGACGGCTAACATGTCATCCGACAGCACGGTGTAATTAACGTTCCAGACTAATTCGGCCCCATTGTCGGGACGGGAGTTCTGCGCCAGGGCCAAAAATAGACAATTTCCGTGTTTTGTTGCGCCTTTTTTTCCCCGTGGTGCCCTGTCCGTTGGCAAATGGGGGTGGAGCAACGCGGACTGACATTGACTGACGTTCAACAGACGTTTCCCATTATTTTGAATAGTAGAAAATCGACGAATCTTCGGAGCAACACGTCGCCGGTGAATACAGTTGCTTCCAAGAAACACCTCGGACCGATGAAACGTAAGACTCCTCTCGTCATTGTGCGCTAATATTTTCTCGGAAATTCGTGAGAAGATTTAAATGGCATGCGGAGGCGACTCCTGTCCGCCCCGTCGTCCCGTTTGAACGCACGTCACGTTCGGAACTCGGGGAATGCTAATTCTTGACCAATTTATCTTGACTTCGGCGAGGAGAATTTCATCTCGCCTGCGAAAAGAAATTTTTTTACAAGTCTAACAAAGTATACATGTAACAGAAATCATTGTTGCAAGGTGTTTGGTGAAGTTAACCCTTTAATACCTACCGTTCACAATTGAGGATACAGAATTACCACACACAAAACTGACACTATCATTTAGACACAAGTCTAGTTTATGACCCAAGCTTATAGTAGTAAAATATTAAACATCTTCTTTCAAGTCGCGCCAAGTGAAAGGGTTAAGAGGTAGGAAGAAGGAACCGCTGGGTCGGGAGTTTGCAATCTCTGCAGAAACGCTCGTCCAGTTTTGGGAGAGAAACGGGCGAATTGGTCCGTTTCTTTCTCACCCCTTCGACCCCCCTCGCGGCAGCCCTCCTTTTTTCCACGAAATAAACTCGAAGCCGCGCTTCCGTCTACGGGGAACGGGACTCTAGGCGGTACATATATTTCTTCTATTGTCTAGCGCCGGAGTTTCCTATTGTTTCTAGAAATTTATCGCTTCACGGGAAGTTTGGCCACGCAGGAGCGGGTGCTTTCATCTTGAGCGAACGCTGGAGCGAGCGGGAGTGAGAGGCGGAGGGACGGGAGAGAGCGCCGGCCCCGATGGCGAGGGAAGAGATATAGATTCAAAGCGGGGCAATAATTAGTAGTTCTACAAAATTATTTATGCCCGAAATAAATCAGGGGGGAAAGCTTAATTGCTTCCCTCTTTGCGCGGCCATTAGAACGCCGCGTGTGCGACCCGAGATCGCGTTTCTTTGCGCTTCACGTGGAATGCCAGCGAGACTCGAGTCGAAATTCACGCCTCGAAGAACTCGTCCCGGGATATCGACTCCGCGTTCGTGGTGGGCAACATTTTATCGGGCTAATACAGTGATCGCTAAAGTAGACGACGCGACCCTTAGGGAGGTACGGCTCGACGAGGAATGGGAAAATATTTATCGTGGTAAAATGCGAATGCTGCCACCTTTCTCTAAATTGATCTGTTTATTATTGGAGTTTGACTGTTGCGTGGGAATACTTGAAGATTTTCTTATATCATTTTAAGTAACCTATTGAAACACATCCTAGAATTTTTAAAAAATTAAAAAAATACGAAAATGTATGTTCTCCTTCCTCAAAAACCACCACACGCGAGAACACAGGCTAATGCCTGAGAGGGGAGCCGTCAATTTACATTCCATCGGAGCGATTTTATTTCGAAAACCGTACGGAAGATCAGGTTTTCGTGGCGCGGTCCATTCGAGCAGTGACGGAGGAGAATTTCAAAAGCGTTCGCCGTCAAGGGTAGGAACGGGACGGAGGGGGCAGGGGTATAAGGAGCCCTGGAAGCTTAGGGCGCTCCCTGAGCGGCGAGAGGGGGGTTTCGGAGGCTTTAGCAACAGGTTTCACCCCCGTGGAAAGCCGCCATCTTTCCGTCCTACGTGCTTTTCGAAAAACGTTCGCTTTTCCAGCGTCGGGAATCCCTCCCCACTCCGTCGCTCGTCGCCTTCTTTTCGTTCTTTCTTCTTATTCTTCTTTTTTTTTTTTTCTCTTTTCTTTTCTTCGTCCATCGCGGTGGATGAACGAGAGAAGAAGACTCGTTTCTATGTTTTGCGGGAAACCGGTTTCTTTCCTACGTTAAATTACAAGACGGCTCCTCAGCTTTTCTTCCCCGCGGCTCGTTATTTCTCCTCCTTCCGAAGTTTATAGGAGGCGAGCGTTTTATTTACATTGTAGCTCGGTTGCTTCGAAATCGAGAGACATCGTGGAAACAGGATCGTAAACACGAGCAGGTTGCTAATATCGTTTTCGACTTTCTTGAAATGCAATTGTCTTATTTCGACCCCTACCCTCCCCCTCTCCTCCCGTCCCACCCTCCCTTCTCTACCATCCCCCTTCTCCAGCGGGTTTCTTTTTTAGAATTCCGGTTTCGGCGGATAATTTGACCGCGGTCGAAAGATTTCACGAGCAGAGACGGGGCAAGATTTTTATTGTAATAATAAATGCCGACTAACGTCAACGTGTGGCCGTTCCCTCGCGATTTTTATACACTATCGAATAATTATTCAGATAAGCGTTCGTTAGTTTATCGCGAAACACAGCTCTGCGTTCCACGACTAAAACTCTCAATTCAATTATAGACGTGACAGAATTCTTTGTAATTTAAGGCTTCCTTAAGAAGGGAATTATTCGATAATAAACGTCTAACTTGCCTCGCTAAGTCCACTTTAAGAATTAAAGAACTTAAAAGAATTTATTTTTCTATGCCTTAGGTTCAATTGTACATATTCGCAAGTGTAAGACGCAGCGAAATGCAGTTTTATTTACAAGAGTTTACCATTATTGTTCGCAGAATCTTCGTTCGTCTCTGTTCACGGGAAATCCGAGGCACGGACGTCGCTTTCAGAGGACACTGGAAAGGGAGGGACTCGAAGGGACAGGACTTGGTTGAAAATCGTCGTGACGTGAATCGGTGCTACGGTTTCGTGAAAAATATAGAACCAGCGGAGAATTTCGCCCCGGCAGACCGATTCCGACATTCGACAAGCGTGGTGCTGATCTTCTCTTCAGATATGCTTCGCCTTGGAACGAAACTTCTGCTTGTTCTTGCTTCGAATGATTCTCGGCAACCCTTCGGTTAAAAGCGTTTGCGTAGGTGCGTCGCCTTTCGGATTTGAAGCACCTTGTAAAAAGGTAAGGAGCATCTACAGCGATGTTTTCGAACGTAACCTCGGCGCATGTATCGACATGCAATTACGAATATACAGTCAGTTCCATAAGTATTCGTTCTCTCTGGGTCTCTTGAAGAATTTCTGTAAATCAAATTATAGGTTTGATGTTTCCGAATAAATGTTTCATTGCAAATACGTACATGAACTTTGCACATGTATGTATTTATCATTTTATTTAGACAACTTCGTTCAATAAACACAGGGTACGAATATTTATGGAACTGACTGTGCGTGTGTGCATGTCCTATGGTAACATAAATTGCGCTGACTTGGATAAATCAATATCCTCCGGGCTGTTGCACTTGCGTACAAATATATCGATGATCGACTGCCTATCGCTACTATAAACTACTTCAGTTTGTAATTATCACTAGAAGCGAAAGCACAGTCTATCTCTAGAGTTCCGTTTCCAAGATAGGCCCCAAAGCTCTTCGGAAGTGTGAACACTTGAATAAATTACCGCAGTTGTGGTCGAGGCGTTGATTGGACCTTAACAAGTTCTCGCGGGATAAAAAGCGATAATAGCACAAGGGAGGGTTAACAATTTTTTACCACTTCGAATGCGCGTGAATTTCTGAAGACCAAGGCCACCCGTCTGTTTCTCTTTTTTTTTCGCAGCCAGCAGAACAGCGTCGAAGGATGCACCCCTTTGGACCGAATTTTCAGAAAACTGAGGAGACGAAGACGAAAGGACGAAAGAAGACGGGTGGAGAAAAAGAGGGAACGGTGAATCGACGCCGACATTATGGAAGCCTCCGTTACAAGGTCGTAACTTAGCCACTTTAGAGTTTCTCGGTTCGTGGCACGCCATTAGGCGTCCTCTTCAGAAAAATAAATCTTCCCTTCCAGGAATTCCACGCAGACTTCGGGAACCCGAAGTCCTGGGACTGAGCACGCATAGTCGACACCCCCGCGTCGAGGAAAATGGACTCGTCCAGCAGGGGTGGCTACTGCTAACCCCCTCCACCATTCGTTTCTCCCTTCCTCTTACGATCTTGCTCCGGTTCCACCAAGGGCGGCTCGAATTTGTTCGAAACCCTGACGCGTCGATCCTGTTACCTTCAGGAGCAACCATTCCTTTCTTTTTAAATATCTAAAAAAAAAGGTACAAAATATACTGCTCCATAAGAGATATACTTTATCCCGCAATAACACTGTCTTCTTGAAGTTGCCGATGCGAGTACTTCTCACGAAATACTTTTGCATTTTTATACTCTAATACGTGTACGAAATTTGCAGGCATTTGGAGTCGAGGAAGCCGAAGAAACGAAATCCAAGGAGATCCGATTCTCAGACGGAGAGAACGCCGGGGAGAAAAGCGAGGAACGAGAAAAGAAAACAATCCGAATCCGGCTGCGTAGCTGTCATCAAAGACGTCCCGTCACGATTGCGAGTCACGAAGAAACCGAACGAATCCACATTAAAAGAGCCGAGAAGATGAGCGAGCGATACGGGAAACGAAGAAAGCGGCCGGTAATCGTCGTCCTCCAGTGAACCGTTTCGCGAGAAGAATCCGAGTGGACGGCTCGACAAAAGGTACGGAGGCTCTCTAGATCTCCCAATCCGTACCGGGAAATTTGAAAAATAGCCACCCTCCTCTCCCTGCTCCTCCGTCGCCTCAAGCGACCCGAGATTCAGCCCGACGTTCAGCCTTCGACGGATTTTCGTTTGCCTACCAGCGGTGCGCAACCATTTTCCCTCGCGTGTAAAGCAAAATTATGTTTTTCGAGCGAGATTGAAATAATGTAGTAAACAGTAACTCTTTCGACAATTCCATTCAACATTGTACAAAATTTATTTTAAAATTCACTTTTCCACAGCGACGGAGTTTTACACAAAATTTTATTCGACTCATTGCTGTCCACGGAATGATCTCCGTTTCCTCGTGAAAGCTGTTGCTCGATCGCAAATATAATTCAAACGTAAGTCATACTTTCATTTTATACCAAATCTTCCCTCACTTTTGGTCATAGTTAACTAACAGAACGTCTGGTTTCACTTACATGAGTCGTCATCGGTTCAATACGAAACCCTGCAAATCGACCAGTAATTCTCACCGATCGAACGACGAACGAGGATCCTGCTCACCTTCCATTGGTTAATCCTAAACAATTTATCCGAGAATTTGGTCCACGTCGGTTGAAAAGGAACATTGCGCTCCTCTGGCCTACGCGAACCGTTTCCAAACGCTGAATGGACGCGGAACGCATACAATCGGCGCATTGTAGCGTTCCTGGGAGAGCTTCGAGCTCTCTCGATGCACCTACGGGAATAATATTTACTTCCGGCCGTTCGACATCCGGCCTGCTCGTAACACTCGTCCTCGAGGGTAACACGAAACCGTGACGGCTACGTGGAATGGTTTTTCCCGGTTCGACGGACTGTTTCGCGACGGGGTGTTTGCTCGAGGTTGGAGGAGGTGGACGAAGGAAGAAGAAAAAAAATTGCGGCTTTCCATTGACGAGGCGTAGACCGCAACCAGGAATCGAAAGGGGAAGAAATTATACGTTCCGCGTTTAATCGAATTCGAGAGCCGACAGGGAAGGAACGCGCGCCGCAAATTACGCGACGATGAGTTCCCTTTTTTTCTCTCCCCTTCTCCCGGGGTGTCGAGGCGAGAACAACCCTTTTTCCTCGGGTTTCTGGGTGTCCGCGGGGTGCAACTGTTGCGTTCCCTTTGGATTGCCGGTGGTCGAGCTTTGTTGGCGAGCAGGGAAGACGCGAGCTGCGCGACGATCGTAATTTGGGCCAGGTTTGAAATTTAATCGCGCCTGGAGACCTGGAGACTTGAATGCCTGCGCGAGCGGCGAGAGTGCGCGCTCGACAACTATGTATAATAGGTTTCCGTCGTTCGAGCGCTGGTGGGCTTGATATTTTTTAGCGGAGATATTAGTTGTGTTTGCATTGAGCGTGCATGCATCCGAAGTCCAGCTTTCACTTATACACATATCTACGTTTTCTTTACGATAAGTTGATACAATTCACGCATGAATATCTTCTCAATATCAATCGTTATTTTTACTTCCAGCCATTGATTTCTCCAGAAATAGTCGTTGCAAGCGATTCGATAATGACAAGACGGGGGACTCGAAACACGGAAAAGTAGAAGTTTTCACCCGGTTGACCTCGATGTGGCAACGGCACGATAATTAGGCGACCTTGATCGAACGGGGCAAGCCACGATTGTTGGCGAGGCGAAACATCGAAAAGGCGGCGGAACGGAAATACGAGAAACGACGAGTGAGAGAAACGATCGAGTAAGGTCCATTTACTGTTGGCTGTTGCAAAAAGCATTGATGATCCCTCCAGGCACAAAGAGCAATGATAGAGAGCAACAGATAAGTGCAATTCGAGTTGCAAAACGTTGCGGGCCATGAGGAGGGCATTACGGCCGCTCGCAAATTACCTAGCCGGTAATCATAATGCGATCGTAATGCAACGCGAATGGCTTGATTTCGAGCGCGAGCCTCGCCATTGCGAGATAAGCCGCGGTCATTATGCGAAATTAGCGATTATCGGAGGTAATTCGTAATTATTATTCGTCGTAATATAGATTCGCTGAGACCACGCCGAGGAACGTTTATAAAATCATTAAACCGAAGAGGCAATGGTATATGAAAGAATTAGAAAACGTTTCTTAATTTTATTATTTTTATTATTACAAAAATTTATCTACCTTCGTTACACGCGAATATTTTAACCCTCTATGGGCCCCATGTATCTTTCAGATCACGTATCGAGGTTCAAACGGTATTGTTTCGTCAAATAATTCTAGTTTCTTTCACAAGCTGACGTATATGTCTTAAAATATTAAATTAAGCCTTTGCAAGTTGTTTGCAGACAACCAAATTTGGCGCATAGAAATTTTGCACACCTTTGGACGTCGCAACTAGTCTCGGCGACGCCACTGCTGGGAAGAAACGCGGCGTGACCCGTAAATTCTGCGCTGGGAATTTCAACGAGGAGACAAGCGAGAAGCGATCGTCAAACATTCACCGCGATAAGTGACGGTGCTTGCGTATCGTTGCGGTGCAATTTGGTTAAACGCTAAGGTGTCGGATGAGTTCTTGGTATTCTTACTGGTGTTGGAATAACGTTATTACGTTGTTATATTCTACATCATCAGTGCAGCTGTTGCTGTATTATTTATATTAGCGACTAGAAACTTCACGCGATACCGGATAATTTAAGTTTTTCACCTCAAAAGATACATACGTACTACTATTGTACAACCCTAGCTATACTTCGCGAAGCACCCTCTATAGAGTACAACCCCTCTGGTAAAGCAACACAATGGCGTAGCAATATTTTTCTGCACATTATGCCGTCTCTCCCGTGAATCTTTGATACAGTGACGACCGGGGAAACGCCTGTTCCCGAATGGAAGGGAAAATACGAAAAGCAGGGAAGCGTAGGCGAGCATAAATTGCAGTCGTCACGTGTTGTTCGCGGACGAACGTTTTCGGGGTGGTTAGTACGCGCGGTGGGACCGTGGAAAAGGAGACGAAGGAACTTCTTGGTAGGAAACGAGAGGGCAAAAGAATTGAAAGAAAGAACCGGGGACCTTGGAAGGCCCGCGTGCACCTATACAAACAGGTCCCGCTGAAAAGCAAATATTTTGTTGTGATGCAAGAATTCACAACATTAATGGGGGCCCCTGAAAGTGCAGCGCACCCCAAGCGATTAGAGTGGACAGAAAATGAACTTTGATTTTGTCTTGGCGTTTCTTTCACCGTGGCCAACGATAATAATCGAAAAGAAAAAGAAAACGAGGTGGATGAGGTACGCTTCTCTTCTTCTTCTTTTTCTTCTTTATTAAATTCCAATAATTATATTCTCGTTTATATTGGTTCGTCTGGAAAGTCTACGCGAATTTTTAATAGGTGATACAGGTCTGAATGTATCGGAATGGTTGAAAACAAAATGGTCCCTATGTAATTCAATAGATGTATATCAATATTCAAACGTGTCTTTGAATTTTTCTTAAAAATTGGCACCAACTTTCTGGACAACCCAATATTACAATCCTTTCAGGTTTGAAGACAATTCCAATAGAAAGACGATACATAAATAACAATTTGCTGAGGCGAAACCGAGGCTTTCCTTTATACTTATTTTTATACCTAAAGCACGCTAGCCTCGATTTTCGAACGTGCTCGATGATCCTGGTCGAGGGCCAGGTTCTTCTGTTACTACGTGTCGAACGACAACAATGGGGAACTGTTGCAGTGCTTGCAATATCGGACAATGGGTTTTAACGTTGTAAAACCACCCCTGCTGTCGCTTCACGCCACCCGCGTCGAGGCGCCGGAATTCGATTCGAAAACGTTGGAACGCGGAGTTCCTTAGAAAATTGCACCTTTCAGGTGGAAACGAGGAGCGATAAATTTCTTAAATGTCGCTAGGCAGCTTTCACGGACTCCTCCTTATCTCGCGAAAACAAACTTTCATAAAATAACCACCCTGGAATTTCTTTTATTGAAACATGTAGTAAAACAATTGAATATTCCATCGAGCTAAATAAAATATTGCGTGGATGTATATTTTACAGACAGTGGGGAATGTGGGTGTATCTAATACAGCTCGATACAGTCTAATCTGGCGAGGAATGCGCCTATGCGGTACGAGCAGGTCCGGAATATTCATTAGACGGTCCAACTGATTTGAAGGCGATTTAATTACGGACCTCCGTAGGCTTAATTAATTTGGCCGATGGTTCGACTACGATTAAAGCTGCATCGTTTTGTAACACGCAGCTCTGGACGCTCGGTGAAACGTTTCTGCAACTTCGTGCACGTTTGCACATTCTTCTAAGGGACATAGAATACGATTATTCATGAGATTGATTGTATCGTTCCTTAAAATTTCTGTCAAGTACCTCGAAACATTTCGAATGACAATTTAGTGAAAAATTAAACAAACCCTCGACTGTCGACACACTACAAAATAAATCTCGCAAATATCCGGAGAAAACGATCCCGCGTTGCACCGCGGCACGAGTAGAGGGGGGGGGGGGGCGTATTGCCAGCTAATTTCCTAGCATCTCTTAATTTAATGAGACGGCGGAGAACAGCGGCGTAACAAAGCGGAGACTAACTTGCCGAAATGATTCTGTTCCCATGGGGAGCCGGCTCGTTTAACAAAGCAGGACTTATTCGGTTTACTGCATGCGTAATAAATGCACCGGGGGTGCCGCTGCAACCTGTTGCCGGTACCGGTGTAAAGATGTCGTAAATGCACGGTAATAACGCGAAATGCGCGTCGTTGGAGTGTCGTTAACAGTTTAAGCGCAGCGTCTAGCCTCCGCGACCGCACGAGGCATTACCATTTTTATTGCACGTTTAACCGGAACGATGTTTGTTCAACCGGGCGTCGATTACACTCGAATTGCCGCGAATGTTGCGGCTCCGATGGAGTTATTAACGCCGGCGATAGAGAGACGCGTTTCGCTTCGCGTCGCCGTTTTGGGTTTCCGCTCTTCGAAACCACGGGAAAGTTGGAACGAGTTTACGGCCGTGGTTGATGATGATAAAATGTGTCGAAGTGCGTTCATAAGCGACGAACGATGAAGGCACGAGGTAAAGTAATCGCGAAGGGATCCTAGGGAAAGAGGAGCAAGTTTTTGATTTAGAGGAGGAAACGTGTGGGTGGAGCTTTCTTGTAAAGTTAAGGAACGATAACTGGGTGGTGGAAAATATAATTAATGTTGTTTATTCGTTTGCAAATCTGGTGATCAGACCGCGTAACTAAACTTTTCCTTCTCTGTTTCATTTTGTACTACCTCCATCGAATTCTAGTAAATGATGCGGTTTCCGCGAATTGACGGAGCGTTTTCGACGATCGTGCCGTTCCGTTTGAACGAATTCTTTAGAATTTCGTGTAGTCACATCGAGATTTTAATCGCCGTTGGCTACGACTGACTCAGTGAGATGGAACTCGGCCCGAAGAACGTGAGATCTCGTGAAACGGCGCAGCGCATGCCTGCGTTCCGAAAATCCGACGTGAGATACTCCCACGACGGTCCATGATTCGACTAACAATTAAGACGTGAATGTTAATGCGCAGCCTCGCTTATCGTTCCCGCCTAAATAAATTCGGATCCCATTAAACCGTAACCTGCTACAATCATAATAAAATTTTAGGAGAGAATATAATTAATAAAATATACATCTACAGAATGTTATAGTAGTGATAGCATTGACTGCAAATTGTATTTCAGGTTAGCACCAAAAATTTAATATTCCATCAAATTAAATGAATGACCGTATGCCCACATCTGCACAGTCATTAAGAAGAAAACTGACTGTACGCTGACCATAATATTTCGCTAATTAATTGAAACCACTTTAACACGAGGCGAGATGTTTTTCAGTCCGGTACTTAAATACATTTCATTCGAACGACTGATAATTCTAGCGGTCGACTGATAAAGGAAAGGGAACCATGATAGTCTACATCCTTGGTTCAATGATTCCCCCATCGTTTTACATCGCGATAATACATTCCCGGACGCTGCGACCACGACTGGCGAATCGCTCAGTAACAACGCACCGGCAGGAAACATGAATTTCGTACCTTCTCTTCTTTCAGGAGTCATAAAGCGAAATTTAAAGCCACAATAAAATCGCTGCCAGGAATAATCCAGCTCACGGACCCGTGGAACTAAAAACCCCCACTCGCGGAGGAGTTCATCGAAGCGGCGATAAATGCACGAATTGTTGTCAATTCCGTGGACGCGAGTAGAGCCAGAAGAAAAGAAGAGGAAGAAAACGAAGATGGCGGAAAGAAGAGAAGACGGGGCGCTAGTGGTTGCGAGCTGAAGAAGCAGAAGAGGAGAAATCTCAAAAAGGTGCCGCGTGCACGCGGGGAACGCATTATACATGCGATCAAAGGGGGGGCAAGAGAAGAGAGTACACGAGAACATGTGGAACAATGCCTGTCACCTCATTCACGTCAAGTGAGCTCGAGAGGACTACCAACTTCAGCCCCGTCGTTCCGTAGTGGCAGAAGACGAACCTGGCCGTGGATTAAATTGCATCTCGATTCGTGCATCGACTTCTCTTTTTTAACGCTGGCCCACCTCCCCCTTGTCTTCTTGTTGTTCCTCGGCGCCGAATCCACCCTCCCAGTTCTTCGTCTTCCTCCCAGACTCTTTTAGGTCCCAGCCCTCTCTGCGCTTCTCTAATCTTAGTGCCTTCTGCACGGACGCGAAGTATCGACGAAGACCTGGCCGATTCTGAAGATTTTCCCTCGATCTCTAGTAACTCGTTCACAGGTGAGACGATTAGGGTTGGAAATTTCTGTTAACATTAAATATCGTTTAGACTATAAGAGTCTACGTAATCAAAGATTTAGTCGTGATATATATTTTTGTAATTTCGTCAAAAGTTACGACTGTACCAAGTGCTTAAATTTCAGATTTTTCAAAAACATGGAGTTGATCGATTAGTGCAGTGAACGGCTCATATCCCGACGAGTGTGCGGAGTAGGTGGAAAATTGTGGCGCAAGGAGTAGGAAAGCTTTAATTTCGCCGAAAAGATTTCTGACACGATATATTGCGTAAGAACGGGGCAAGGGTGGGCCAGAAATGTTTCGAGGGGGGGGGGAAGCGTTTGAATTTACGGCGTGTTTCGCACCTGCCGCTGGAACGGGACGAAAAATGTATAAAAAGGCCGGGGGAAAGGGAACGAAAAAAATCGAATTTCGTAGCGAAACCTCGGTACGTGAAACCAGCGAATCTTTGGAATTCCAGTAAACCGGAATGGAGGAATAGGGGAATAAGGGAATTATGTCGCACGGGGGTGGGACGCGTCTACCACGTTGAATGCAATCGACTGCACTTTCTTCCCAATGCGAACCTCGTTCTAGAGAAAAGATTTTCGTGGCACTCGCTGGGAAACGAGACTCGCTCTAAACGAGGAATTTAAGAGAGCTTTAGAGTCTTTGACGGCAACACAATGCGTTCTGGTATTACGGCTATTGTTAACGAAATGCGTATGTGTGTATGCAGAATACGCTTCATAAAATAATATGATAGTATTAGGACTCCGTTTTGCATATATGTTCTGTGTACGTTCAGCATATGTTTTCATATTTCCATAGATCGTTAGCATTAAATATACGCGTTAACGGGTGGATTAGATTTCGATTATCTCTCTTCGACGCGGTTCCGTTCACCTTGCAATTTTTCTTCCTCTGCGAAACGAGTACCGGGCACGCCGCGAGAGTCGGAACACGTTCCTGGAACGCCTATTCATCGCAGCGGATTTTTCGACGATCTAAAAAGCAAACAAGACCGCGAATCCCCCAATCAGCGTCGATTCAGATTTCCAGTTCGTGGCGGGGCCCCCGTATGGCTGCCGTTGCTTTTCCAGCCGGTTCGTTAATAAAGACATCGCCGCGATTTAAACGACCGCCGCGCACGAAAATCCCTCCGTCGACTGGTTCTCCGGCCCGTGAAAGTGAAGCCGTCTCCTTCGGGCCAATGGGAGAAGGAAACGGGAGGTTTTCGAGACTAGTGAAAGTTCAGCGTGAAAGCAATTCGATCGAAGTAGACGAATTCAGCTTTCCCCCCAGTGGAACCCGTGGCGATCTCGTTAATCCGTATCTCGGTGAAAAATATTATTCCTCGATCGTGCCAGTCATATTGAAATGATAGTATATAAATATTTTTTTAAATGTTGCGTCCTCAATTGTGAACGCCAGGTCTGAATGAGTTAAATCATTTGACATAATGAGTTCAAAAAGAAAGTCAACGCCATCTCGAATTCACTCCTCGAGGTAACAACTATTACACAATTTTCGCGGGAACTCAAATGGTTAACCATTCAATAGGCCCCCCAGACCGCGATACACGGTGCCCCTCGATCGCATTACTGGGCGTTGGTATGACCCTGGCCAGTCCAGCGAATAATTCAATAAG